GGTTCTAAGAGCGGTTCCCAGAGTCATGGACCCTTCATGAATCAAATCGTGCAACAGGCTAGCTGCGTTACAATAAGATCTACGAAAAGGTCTATTCTGGAGGAGCTTTCATGCTAGGCCCACAAGGAGTGAATCCTTGGGGACTAACATTACTTGACTACCGATTCTAAACTGTGTTTTCTCTCTTCTTTTTCCAAAGCTCGGGTGTAGAGCTTTACTTGTGATACTTTCCCAGAATCCAACAAGAAAATATAATATATTACACATAATAGCAAGAAAGAAGTAACAAACTAACAAACAGGAGAATATAAGCACAAAGAAAAAACAATAAGCACACAGAAATCGGTTAAGAAAAAGTCAACACTCTCAAATCGAGTCAAGTTAGGCTTGACTCTCTCTTGCATAGGGCAATGCGGTATCCCCAGCAGAGTCGCCATCTGTCGTACCTCGAAAAATACGATCCTCGCGATGGCCGCGGAAAATACTGTTCGAAACAGAGTCGCCACCGAACTTTATTCATTCCAAGGATGGAATAGGAAAATATCGATAAAACCTTAAAGGAGATAAGAACATGGTCATCGCAACCAATATTCTAGGTTCGGGAGTCGGTTACGCAGAGGGAAGGTATTAGCACCCTCTACGTCCATTGTACTCAACGGGAACCTCTTGATCGATTCGAGAGTAAAGTTAACTATGCTTGTTTGTTTTCTTCTAAGGTTTCTCCTATAGGGGCAATGGGTGGTTTTAAGATAGGGTGCTCGCCAAGGATTGGGGCCCTTGTGCCTACGTATCTTCACTTATAAGAAGTGGAAAATCAGAGCATTCGTAGTTCGTGGGACTACGGGAAAAGGAGGGAATTGTGCTCGCCAAGATCATCGCAATCTTGTGCCTACGTATCTTACATTCAAGAGGGAATGAAGAATCAGAGCAGTCGTAGTTCGGCTAACTATGGTAAAAGGTTTGTGTTTGGAATGAACGAGAGCTTAGGTTGCATTCTAACTGCTAAACATTGGCTTATCTTCTCGCTAGGGGAGGCTGAAGCACGAGTTTGTTATGCGCGAAACAAGGGACTAAACAATGTTCTTTGAGAAAAGGTATGTTTGGATTGGAAATCGCACGAGGGTGAGGGATTAGGTTTATCGTATTGGATGTTTTGGTTAGAGGATATATTTGAATAGGTTTAAGGTTTCGATCGCGCGAGGGCGAGAAATAGGAGTTTGGTTAGGCAATTTTGATGGAGAATGACGACTATTTGATAAACGAGCCGTCAGCCTCGCAATCAATTAATCGGGGCATTATTGGAATGCTAGATTCCAACGACACCTTTTTCATTCGAATAATTATGAAATATATTTGAGAAAGTTTCAATCGCACGAGGGCGAGAGAAGAGAGTTGGATTGAATATTTTAAGGGAGAATGACGACTACTCGATAAACGAGACGTCAGTCTCGCAATCGATTAATCGGGACATCATTGGAATGCTAGATCCCAATGATACCTTTTTCAATTAGTTAGGAAAGTGTATTTGGATGGACAATAGTGGTATTTGTCAAAGTAGTTAGGGCATGTATTTTATATACGAAGAGGTCGAGTAATCCACAACCTAAAGCGTACGCCTCAAGAGTGGTCACTCAAGAATTCAAGGAGTGCGAGACTCCAAGAACTCAATTCTTTCGCAGTTAGTTAAGAAATAGTTTGAATCTTACGTGTGGTTTAGAGACATGCTAGGGTTTGTATTGATCGCACGAAGGTGAAGAACGAGGTTAGATGGTTTGAAAAATTAGGAGGAATGACGACTACTCGATAAACGAGACGTCGGCCTCGTAACCAATTAGTCGGGATATCATTGGAATGCTAGATCCTAACGATACCTTTTTCGTCCAATTTCGAAAGTTGTGTTTGATGGACGGTTTAGACGCGAAAAAGTTTGAATTGAAAGAGATTTAGGCTCGATCACATGAGGGTGAGAAACGAGGTTAGACGAGTTGGAAATTAGGAGGAATGACGACTATTCGATAAACGAGACGTCGGCCTCGTAACCAATTAGTCGGGATATCGTTGGAATGCTAGATCCTAACTACATCTTTTTCATTCCATTAATTATGAAATATGTTTTTTGGATAGTGAATATTTATCCAAATAATTAGATAAGGTATTTTAGGAACGAAAGTTTGAATGACACACTATACAAGGCGTACGCCTCAATAGTAATCATTCTCGAATTCAAGGAATGCATGACTCCAAGAATTCGATTCTTTCGTAATTTTAATTAGAGAAATAATTTGAATTTAATAACGTAGATGAGTTATGCTAAGGTGAGCATATTGCTCGAATTAGGGTTTGGGATTTTTAGAAAGGTTTAAACGATATTGAGGGGTATTTTTAAGGATGAAAGACGAAGCGACCACAACTCAAGGTGTGCACCTCGAGAGCGGTCACTTAAGGACCCAAGGAGTGCTAGACTCCAAGGATCCACTACTTTCATATAATTTCAAAAATAGCAAAGGTTTTAATTATAAAATATTTTGAACTAAATAGAAAGAAATAAATTTGATAAAAATTTAAATAGAATCTAAATAAATCAAATTGTGGAACAAATATCAGTTATCACACATTAAGAATAAAACTAATAATATTACTGATAATTACTAATAATATTTAGATTATATGTAATTATTTTATAAAGTGACCCTATTAAATATAATCCTATAGGCCTAAACAGCCTTATCCAATCGTGGTAGCCTAGAAAGTCAGCCAGGATTCCCACTGCACATGCGTTATGACGTTTCATTTTCAAACAGCACCAGCTAGTTATTTAACATACATATGAAACTGTTGGGCTGTCCGAAAAAAAATTAAAAAGAAAGAAAAAAAAGGAATTAAAATCAGCCAGGAGACACGAATCCTCTCCCTCGGAATACTCGTGCTTTTCATTCTTTCTCCCTCTTTCTTATTCATTATGAATCCATCTCTCTCCTCAAAATCAAACATTTCCAGATCCTTATTTTTCTTTCAAACAAAACAAAACCCAAACTCAAATCTATGTAAAACAAAATCTAACGAAAAACCGAAATGAAACCCCATACGATCCACCCCTACTTTCAGTTCTCAACTCCACTCTCAAACATGGAGGATTTCAAACGAGCTGAAGAATATGGTCCTCGCAGGAACAAAATTCCCAATTTCCAGCTCAAAATAACACTACAATAGCGACAACATGAACTGAACAGATGCAAATCCTAATCTTACAGTTCTACGGCATACGCACAACGAATATCAGGGTAAAAAGAATTTCAGCAAAGACTTTAACATAATGAGAAATAGAATGGTTACCCTAATGGAGTGAAGAAAATCTCTGCCGACCGCTTCCGACTTCAGCGATGTACTATTGCTTCAGGTGATGTGAACTGCTTATCTCTGTTTCTTCTACTCTTTTCTCTACTGTTGCTGGCTCCTTTCGTTTTTACTGATGAGGACCAAGCTTCTCTTCTTTAGAGTTTCAAGGTGAATCTCTAAGAAGAAATCTTGCTTGTAGCTTTTGTGAGGGTTTGGGTATTGATTTCAACAGAATAACATTAGGGTCCTCTTTTGCAGAACGATTGGGGGTTAATTTATAGGGGATTTTTAAGGTTTTTGGTACGTTTGAAAAATTTGAAATCTGCTGATGAAAAATTGGTTGAAACGTGTGAGGTTTTTGTGTAGGACGACGAGGTGCCTTTGTGGTAGTACAATTCTGTTAGGAGGTAATACCACGATTTCTGCTTTTTCTGAGGTTTGATAGTGACCTTTTCTTTGTCTGTAGTGAGGAAGAAAAATATCTAGTTTTACCCTTTTTTTTTTACTGTGTGGAAATACTTCTTTTACTGATTATCAATTTGCTGACATGGGATTCTTTATTTGACTTTAAAAAAAATTGTTCTTGTTGCCATATTCTGTTATAACTGTCATGCTCTTTCTTCTTCATATGTTGCTAATGTTGAGTAGCCATTGCAGGTTGTTACACTCACTGGTCCTTAGTGTTTGGCAAGGTAAAAACGGTGAAGAGGATCAAGGAGCTTTACCGGTAGCTCTCAACGTTGATTTGAAGAGTGTCAAAACAGTGGTAGAAAGATTGGTTAGGTGGTTGACAAAGTTACGGATGACTGGTGTTGCCCATAAGGAGAAATGGTACGTAAACTTGCTGTGTAATGCCCTGGTGTAACGCTCAATCTCGTAAGAAACATGATCGCCCCACCGAAGTTGGACATCAATCCAATACTTATTGTTAGCCTTCTGATCAAAACAGCCTTGTCATGAACAAATTCGTCTCATCAAGTTTGTGTCAATGTCAATGGCTACTCAAACATCTCGTTTTATCCTTGTTCGCTCGTTCATTATTTTGTATTGGAATCAATACTTGTGGTTAAATCTGATGCTATTTTGGTTTTGTTTCAATATCGCAGGATATGTTTTGCCTCTTATTGACGTCCTGGAATCGTATGAATCATTGACAATACTCTCATGCCCGAACCGAACAAGTAGTCTAATAACTTCATCAGATGTGTCCAGTGGAATTATTTGCAGTCCCCGAATGTTGCTGGCTTCGTTGCAATACTGGCTGATTGGATACTTTGCTTGAGTGGGATTACTTCCTGGGGAGCAATTGTTATTGTTGCTATGTCGCCTGAACTGCCACCAGTTTGATAATAGGACATGTTTAACTTTCTGACAGTTTCCACATTTTAATTCTTTGGTAGAAGCTTCAAATGAATGTATAAAATGATAACTTATAGCCCAGTGAGCCAATGATCTTATCCACATCTACTAAAAGTACTTTAATTTTTATGCATTGACTCTTTGTTTCCTGTTGTCACCAAGCATTAAAAATATGGGCGTCCTTAAGTCTATGCAAATGTCATTTTGGTAGTGCATTCATAAGACATATGAGACTGTTGGATTGAATAACAATGTATCTTTGTGGAATTTCCAAATAAAGTAAGGGAATTTCTTCACTCCGTGCTTTACTGCAAGCTTGTAACCCATTGATCTTTGTCTTGTTGATCAGAAAACTTGGAGTCTTCAATCAAGGTCTGTAAAATAAGCGATGCTTCTGAGAGCCTTCCTTGATAAAGGTATTTGTCTAGTTTCAGAGAGTACTCGAAAGAAGTTTGGAATTCAATCTTATTAATATCGCCGGATATAACGTCCTTCCACTCTTTTGACTTTCCTGTTTGACACAAGCCATGTAGCATGGCACTGAAACATACAGAGTCCATAAGAAATCCCTTCCTCAGCATCTTATTTTGCAACAACTGGGCAGTGTCAACCATTCCGTGCTTACAAAGACAGACAATAATAGAATTATAAGCAGCAATCACTTCACTCCATCCATCTGATATCATTGTTGCAAAGAAATCCAAAATCAAGGACTTGCCATTTTCCTCATTTTTTCTGATAAGAAATGTATTGTCTGTAATATTTGTTAAGCCATTTATGAGATAGTGGAATGTAGTATCATTTGGAACACAATTTCTAATCAGCATTAACTCAAAAAACGATGCAGCATTTTCAGGTTTACCGGCCTTACAAAAACCACCAATAAGTATGGTGTATGTGACAACATTAGGCTCTAAATTAAAAGATTCCATCCCTATGAAAACTTTTTCAGCCCTGCTCATGTCTGCTTTCTTGCAGAATCCATTGATCAGGCAGGTGTAGGCAACTACATTTGGCTTGCATTTCTGTTTCATCATCTGTCCAAACATCTTGAGTGCACTATCTAAGTCATGTTGTTTTACATATCCATCTATAACTGTGGAATAAGTGTATTCATCAGGAGTATGATGCGCAACTTTCATCTTATTTAAGTATGATACAGCATCAGACATCTTTCCAAATTTACATAAACCCTTTATCATGACATTATACCCTACAATGCCAGGGTCTATACCCTTACTCATTACAACTTCAAAAAGCGTTGTTGCCTTATCAAGTTCATCGTTTCGAATAAACCCGTCTACCAAGGTGGCATAAACATGTGCATCAGGTTGCAAGTTTTGATCAAGCATTTCTGAAAGTAGTTGTTTGGCAGCAGGAAACCTTCCTTTCTTGCAGAGACCACTCATCAAAACATTGTAAATCTGAGCATCAGGAAATACACCCTTCTGAATCATTTTCTCTTGAACCATCAATGCAACATCAATTTCCCCAATAGTGACAATTCCATGGATAAAAGCTCCATAAGAAACCAAGTCCGATTTACCTCCTGTTTCACTTTCAGCAATCTTAAAAAGAATATCCGATGCCATAACATAATCCCCTTGTTTATAGTAAGCATGCATGATGGGTGTATAACTATACTTATTAGGCAGCAATCTCCTTTCTTTCGCCCTCTCTATGAACTCTTCAGCTTCTTTAATCCCTCCATCGCTACACGAAGAGTTAATCAGAATATTATAAGTCGTAATATCTGGCTCACAACCAATCTCATCCATTCTTCTCAATGTCTCAGAAGCTCCTTCCACCAAACCATGCTTGTATTAAGCATCAATAATATTATTGAACACTAGTACATTCACATTCAATCCCATCACATTCATTTCTTTCAGAAGTTGATCAACTACTTGGAAATTCCCAACTTTACAAAATCCAGCAATCAAAGCCCCGTAAGTTTCTACCGTTGGCAAAAAACCCTTCAATTTCAATTCCTCTAGAACTTTAGTAGCACCTCTGAGATTACCCATCTTGCAATATCCATCAATGATCACATTATAAAACACTACATGAGGAACACAACCTTTTCCCCATCTATCATTAATCAACCTCCTACCTTCCTCAACCTTCCCAAGATCACACAAACCCTTCACCACAATTGAGGTACTATAGTTATCAACAACCACATCCATTCCATCATAACCACCCTTCTGAAGCATTTTATCATACATTTCAAGTGCAATATCAACTTTACTGTTTTTCACCAAACAATTAAGCAATGAATTGTTAGCATAAACACTTGGAAAACAATTATGCAGTTCACGAACCGTATTGAACAACTGAAGAGCTCTATTAACAAACCCATGTTCAGCATACACACAAATAACATTGTCTAATGCTTCAAAGGTAGGTTTCAAGTTTTGAGCTTTCATACTCTCCAAGACCAATTCCATCTGCGAGAACACTCTGTACTTGGCCATGAGCTTGAGAAGAGAAGAATAAGCAACTCCATTAAGAGGAGAAGAAAAGGGTATAGTGGAAGATAGGGCAGCAGATTTTATGTTATGGCTATGAATCATTTCATTATTTTGAAAATTTGGAGGATTCATTTGGTCAACAATATGTAAGTTTGATCCCATGTTTTGATTGCTTCTGTTATAAGGATTCAGCGGCAAGCGAGCCAGGCCCCAAGTAAATCAATCATTGCGACAAACCGGCGTTGAATCTCCCCTTGTATTGTATCTGTGGTTTGTTAAAGAAGGAGACCTGGTGAACATGCTAGGATCAAGCTTAATTATGTTTTTCGCATCCAACTTTTCTTGCATCATATCTCGAGGATCCATTGGATGAATCTTCTCATAAGTATTGAAAGTGGTCAATCTTTGTTCATGATGAACTGAAGTAGAATATACACAGCTGGTATTTGATACATCTCTATAATTTGCAAAGTTGCTGCTACAATAACTGCTCCACCATGGAATCTCTCCATAAAGCATAACCTGATAATACACCAAACACCCTTTATATCTCCTTGCCTTGTGATTCGCTCGCAGCCCCTCTTATTAGTTCATGTGCATTTCTTTCTATTTTGAGTATGCTCGTTTATTATTCTTGGTTCAATCTTGTAGATCATGCGATAACAGTAAGGACACCATGGAGATGAAGGCAATTGGATTATTTTCTCTTCAAGGAATTGGTCCGTGGACAGTTTGCCGTGAAGCTTCTGGCTTTGAGACTTGAGAATGGAACTCCATGAAGTCCTTTATGCGTTTCGGTAAGACATAGCATGGACTTGGTATTTCGGTGTTTTGCAGGTCTTTTATGCATCTGAGTTTGCAAGGAATAGCGGTGGTGTGCTAATTGTTGCTCCTCATGTTGAATTTGTGCAGGACCTTGATATGATAGTGATGAAGCCTGAATGACAAGCTTGTGAAGTTTAAGCACACGAACTCATGGCTTGGTTTGGGATATAATGCAGTTGTACGCCCAATTACAAAGGAATCTAGAGAAAATTATATGCAGGACACTCAAACATTTGATGAGTTCAAATTATCTTTGAGAAGGATGGAAGAAATATCTCAATTACCATATCAAACTTGTGATTATAATTTACTGATGAGAATTAGAAACTGAAGAAATTGCAATGCAAAACAACTGGACTTTTCAGACCGACAATTAATACGAGAAGCAGAAAGACCACAAACATGTCTTGACGTCTTAGCTGTGTCATGTGCAAAAAAGAAGCAAAATAGAAAGAGAAGTGATGTTCCCAGCTCAATGCGTCCTAACAAAGATGAGATGCAACAGTGCCATAATTCTGCATTGGGAAACCACCAGCTGACATTGGGGAAACCATCAGGTATTTCCACTTATATGGGCAGAGTGCACTTGTTCCCTTTCAAGGGGTCACTTGATGCCAAAAAAAAACACAGCGCCCACGACCTAAAGTTGGCCTTGATGAGGAGACTGATAGAGTGTGGAAGCTTTTGCTGTTAGATATAAACTATGATGGGGTTGATGGAACAGATGAAGACAAGGCCAAATGGTGGGAATGAGAACGTAATGTTTTCCGTGGACGAGCAGAATCATTTATTTCACGGATGCATCTTGTACAAGGTATCAGTGCAAGACCTTAAATCAAAGTCTAATCCTTTGCACTCATTGGCTTTTCAACATTCCGCGCTGCCCCCATCTTAATTATTCAATTTGAGAAAGAATGTGTGCCGGAAAGTTGTAATCAAATTGTTGCATGGTGGCTTTGATTCTTACACATGAAATGCTCCCTTATGATGTTTCTCTGTTATCTGCTTGTAGCTTCATTAACTCAAATCAGATCTTGATGGATCAATGATTGTATTGCCATATTAGTACAAGTTCAAACAACTTACAATGTATTGGGACGAGGGAAAATTCCGGTGACGGAATGTTTGCTCTTCGCAACAAGTTCTTGTGACAGAGTCCTACTTGAGTGAAATACCACACCTTTGCTTTATTCATATTTGAGAACTCTTTATAATCATGAACAATTGGTGCATTATTCTGATTCATAGAGATTCTTTGTAAGATTTATTATAAATGGAGTTCAGTTTGGATCTTGTGTTTTTTTGTTGAATTTTGAACCCGTTTTTTTTATAATCTGTAATAAGTTTACGGAAAAAGATTACAACTTGACATGTTTTTCTCTTCCACCATGTATCACAAAATTGGCGTTATAGTCTTCCTTTCCTGGTAGAACCCTGTGTGTGATTTGATGCCAATAGCCTTATTTTCTACTTAATCAGTCTTCTGGTTAAAAACAGAAACAACTATGAATTATAATTCACATGTTTTTGACAATGATCCTCCCTTGGCCACAATTACCTTTAGCATTTCTTGCAGCAAATTAAAATATTTTGAAACACCTCGAAGCCAACTACACTACAGCCAACCATGAGTTGCTCTTGGTCTCCATCATAATTACATTAAAATTCAGTGTGGTTTGAAAGGTGGACTACAATCATGGCCTTAAAACGCGAATTGAAAGGCATTATCCCCAACTCAAAACCACTTAACCGGGTAATCATAATTCTAAAACAACTTGATCACTTATTGGCTATGTATGTCATGAACTTCTTGAAATGAGATTGGTCTAACTTTGGCTATCTCCACCGCGCTACTTTAGTACCAATCATGAAATATGGCTCAATAACTTCTTGAAACCAATTGATTATGTCTTGAAACGAATCGAAATATCTTCTGGATAATTGCATCTAAATTCAATTATGGCTTGAAATTTGCAAGCTAAATCTAAGTTTGTCACAAAATGATTTAGAATCCAAAACATCACTTGACGCTTGCAGTCAATTTAAACAAAGCTTGAGGCTAAATCGACCATATCAAGAAGCAAGTACCTTTGAATAACTTGAATTAAATGCATATCATAACAAACCACTTATTTAAAGAGAAACCTTGGAGAGTCGTGGCCAGAAGTCATGAAGCAGTAAAATATTCATTAATTGCTGAGGTAGGACAAATTTGGGGTATGACAATATGGTATGACATTTTGGCCATCATTTTGCTATGTTGATTTGTTGGTTGTTTTGATATCTTTACTATCTCTCATCTCTTATAATTTTTGAAATTGCATCTATTGCGGTTATGAATGTATACAAGTTTCTAGTGCTTTATTAATTTGAGTGTATGACATTGTGTTATAGGCTTTTATTTACATTAGTCTCAAGCCTATAATGTTGGTCCTTTTTATTTAATTAATGAAAATTTTAACTATTGATTTTTAAATTTTTCTATTATTAATTAGGCAGAAGAAATTAACATATACATTTTAAAGAGTTAAAAATTAATATGAGATTTATTTAGGCTAATGCTAGTTTGTATTCTAAAGACACAAATTAATGAACTATTTGTAGCAATATGTTTTTAGAATGTGTGCATTTAATTTCTTAAAACTTAAAAGCATTGTTTTAGTCAACAAAAAATTTCTAATTATAGTATCCTTAAGTTGTGCCTTAAAGACACAAGTTAACAAAACTATATATATATATATATATATATATATATATATATATATATATATATATATATATATATATATATATATATATATATATATATATATATATATATATATATATATATATATATATATATATATATATATATATATATATATATATATATATATATATATATATATTAAATTAAGGGAAAAAACTCACATGAAAAAAAAATCAATTACAAGTTCTTAGTCAAATATGTTCTAAACTCATCAATTCTTGATATCTCTTGAAATAATATCTATGTTATCTTTGGGTAACTTTACATTCTGATCTCTACAATCTTACAAAATATCATAGACAACTATGAATAATTTAGCATGTATATTTCCTTTATCCAACATGACCTTCAAACTAGATACAATATTTTTATTTATTGTGGCCAAAAAATGAGAGATGGTAATACTAAGGAAGGTGGGAATAAGATATAAGGAGAAAGCATGAATCAATTACCTACCCATTATAAGGGATTGCCACTATTCTACCAGTTATACCCTTCACACTTAAAATCATTATGCCCAACTCAAGGTCATAAAAGTAATTAACATATTCTATTCTTTCATCCAATCAGAAGAACCCATTTTTACCATTTCCCTCTCCCTCTCACTCTCAAATTCTCTCTTTCTCTCACCTTCTCTCTCTTACATTTCTCTCTCTTGCCTTTCTCTCTTCTGAAGTTCTCTCTTTCTCTCAAAACCCTAGACCGCCTCCCCCACCGCCACTTCTAA